AATTTTAGTCCACCCCAGCCCTTTTTTTAACGAGCCAAAAATAGACCAACCCATCCCATATCGCCTTAGCCCGCGAGCCAAATATATAATTTTAAAAATAAAATTTAAATACTAAAAAATATTTTAAAATAATTTTAATATTTAAAAAATATTTAAAATATTTAAAAATATTTAAAATATAATAAAAATATTTAAAATTTTAAACAAAATAAATTAAATATATAATAAAAATATAATTTGTATATAAAAATTTTAAAAAAAATTTTGGCCTGTGAGCCCGGTCCGTGATGGGCCGGCTCGTTTGACCCGTTTTTTCTGGACTCAATTATTCTCAGCCTAGCTCGGAAGAACGAGTCAGCCCGCGGATCCGAACCCATTTTATACCTCTATATATATACGTTAAAAATGTGTATTATGCATGTATATATGTCATGAGTGGTTGGTCAATTCAGGTTTCGCTTCGGGTTCGGTTATATTCGGATTCAGTTATTTCGGTTATAGAAAAACTATAACCATTCGGTTTTTATATAATCTTCAGTTTGGTTCGGTTCGGTTATTTTTCGATTCGGTTTCGGTAAAAAATTCAATTTTTCAAAGGAATTGTCGGTCTTTTTCGCAGGTTTTTGGGTTATTTTTATTCGGTTTGGTTTTGGTTTTTTTCGGATTTTAGAAAATCATAACCGTTCGGTTTTGATATCGGATTCGGTTCAGATACGGTTATATCATATTCGGTTCGATTTGGCCTCGTTTGTTCGGTTAATAACCGAAATGACAACTCTGGCCATGACTCGTGTTAATTTATGTCCGTGTACATTTTTTTTAATTGACGTGACGTATTAATATGATATTTATACTCACGTCATATTGATATGTTTTCCATACAATGGATATACCATTTTTTCCGATTCATCAAAATGAATGATATTTACGAGTATAGAGAAAAATGATAAATTTTAAAAAAAAGTATTATCAATTGAATTCGATATAAAAACTAAATGATTTTAATTTATTTATCGAAACCAAACCCAATCAATTAAAAAAATAACTCAAAAAATCGGTATTTTAAAAAACATGAAATTTGAAAAAAAAAAAAACTGAATTCAAAACAAACTGAAACGTAAGGAGACGGAACCAAAGCAAAATTTATATAAAAACTAAATAGTTATAATTTTTGTATAAACCAACCGAACGGAATCCGAATTTCGAAATAGTTACTCTAAGCCACTACCCTCCACATCAACGCCACGTGACGTATATCCACTATGTGTAAACCACGCGCCAACAAGAGCGTGAGAGACAGCAAGGATGTTAAAGAGTACGAGATGCTAAAGTGCGCGGCTTGGTTGTATGTGTTAATGGGTTTAGCCTACGCCTTTCTCCTCTTTCATCTTTCCTTTTGGGCTTTAAGTTAAACCTACATTGCTCTCACCGTCTCCTCGGAAGGGTTTTCTTTGTGTCTGTATCTGTATTTGTCTTTCTGAAGCTTTAGTCGATCGTCCATGGCCAACTCCTCCGCCAGCTCCGCCGCAAGCCGCTACCATAACCTCTCCATCAATCCGTCGAATCATATCTTCAAAGGTATTCGACGGTTTTCCGTCGATTTCGATTCTTCGTCTTGTGTTTGATTCTCACAATTTTGTTTCCATTCATAAACCCTAGATTTCCCTGAGGAATTGCCGCTCCTTTTATTTGTCCCATGGCTTTCTCATCTTGTCATCCAGTTTTGATACTGACTTGAGTTCTGTTAAAATTGAGTTTTTTTTTTCGTGTGGTTCCTGATCTTTATGGATTCGCTGTCGTTTACTTCACCTCTACATTTGTCGAGTATGAGTCTTCCATGTTCTTACCAGATCTATACTGGGATATCGAAAAAAGAGTTTTGTTGTTTGTTGTTGGTTGTGGGTTGGGTTTGTGGATAGGCGACAGATTCATAAGAAGGAAATTTTGTTTCCATTGTTGTGTGAGACTGTTCTCAAAGGCTTGAAGTATTGCTTGTTTTTCTCTTCTGCTATCACTTGGGAGACCTCGCTTGCTTGATTCATGATGGATTGTTGACACTATTATATTGTTATGTTGTTTTCTTGTACAAGTTGCAACTTGAATCTTTTTTTCTGTTGAAAGATACCACCTTCCTGTGGAATGCTTTTTTGTCATTCTACATGATTAGGGAGTGATTTTGTGGCCTTTCCGTGCAGATGTCCAGGGTTCTGACAATCTGGTTCCGCTTTCACCTCAGTGGCTTCTGCCAAAAACAGGGGAGAGCAAGACAGGAATGGGAACTGGAGTATGTTCCCCGTTCTTATGACATAGAAAATCTTTTTTTTTTACGTTTTATATTCGTTAAGTATGTTATTTTGTTTGACTTTTACAGGAAGGAAAGGTCCTGCAACATCCCTATAGCAGTCGCTTGGTTGCTGATGCTGGGAATGACGCATATCTCTTGGCCAAGAAATTGGCACTTGAGCAACAGAGATGGGGAGGAAACACTGGAAACTCTGAAGACAAAAGATGGGTTTCGGCCATCCATGCTTGACATGGAAAGTGGTCGTCATGACCGTTGGCATGATGAAGAAAGGGATGCCCTGCCCTCTGTTCGAAAAGATCGCTGGCGGAATGGAGACAGAGAGTTTGGTGATGATAGGAAGGATCGATGGGATAACGTGGGTACTAGATCCTTTGGGGATTCACGCCGTGGTCCATCTGATCGGTGGACGGATTTAGGAAGCAGGGATGCTGGGACTGATCAACGACGTGAGAAAAAATGGAATTTGCGGTGGGGACCTGATGATAAGGAGACTGAAATTACACGCAACAGGTGGGATGAATCTGGTAATGATGGTGAAAGTTTGCATGAGAAGGGTATGTCTCTTCCTTCTGGGCATGGGAAGGAAAGGGAGGGAGATCGTTATCGGCCATGGAGACCATCTCAAAGTCGAGGAAGATTAGAACCTCTTCAATCAGCTCCGAACAAGCAAGTTCCCGTCTTCTCTTATAACAGGGGTCGTGGGGAGAATGCTCCCACCTTTTCAGCTGGTCGTGGAAGGTTGAATACTGTTGGAAGCTTTTTCAGCAGTGCATCAACCCAGTCTCATCCTCCTGGGGTTCCCTCTGACAAGCGGGAAAGTGGTTATGCAGAGCCTTCTCACCTGAGGTATAGCAGAATGAAACTGCTGGATGTGTACAGGATGGCAGATATAGAATCTTATGAAAAGTTTCTAGATGATTTCATCGAAATGCCTTCCCTTACATGTGGGAAGCCCTCAGAACCTCTTGCTCTCTGTGCTCCTGATTCAGAAGAAGTGGTGAGTCATTCTTCTCGGATTGCTTATGTTATTTCTCTTTCTATAGTTATCTCAATTCCTTATCATTATCTTATTTTATTTTTCTCCAACAGACCATCTTGAAGGCGATTGAGAAAGGGGAGGTCGTGAGCAGTGGTGCTCCCCAAATATCCAATGATGGGCCTACTGGGCGAAATCCAGTTGATTATTCACAATCGAGACGAATCAGGCCTGGTAAAGACCCAGTTAAAGACAATGTGAGACTTAAGGGTTACATCTTGTGCGTACATAATAAATAGCAGAATTTATGAATGTCATGTTGCAGTTGGCAGCAGAGAAGATATGTCATATGCTGCTGAGGAATCTAAAGATGGAAGTGCTGAAACCTCAAAGACATATCCTGATAAATTTAGGCCCGAAGGTGTGTATGCACGTATTCCAGCCTATACATATGGCTGTGTTGTCCCGTGCGATGCTTTTGTCAATAGCTGATAATGAAATTTATGTGGTGTACTTTAGTTTGCTGTCTATTGAATACCCCCATGTTTTTGTTAGGAATTCTCTGTATAATTTTTTCCACCTGTAGACTACATGTTGGTAAGACCTAAGATTGAATATATCTATCAATTACGAAGTTGTTTCCAGCACTCAGAATTGTATGAACGGTTCAAATGTTAGAATTGGCTTGTTTTCTCACTAGTTTCTTGTCTCTCAGTTTATGAATTTTTTGTGCCGTCTGCAGGTTTTCAAGAAGGTAATCTTACCCTGAGGAAGGCTGAAGAGGGATCTGTCATGCAGGAAAATAATAATATTCAATCTATCTCTCCATGCCGACCACTTTCAGTGGGTGATAGGTCGAGTCGAATCTCACATGGTTGGAATGACCATTTAGCTGATGTTAGGATGAAAAATTCAGACGCTACCTGGGCACCACCTAAAGGTTTGGTTAACAATGTAATGAACTTGCCACATTCTAAAGGTGAATCGAGATGGCCAATCAGTGAGGAACCGATTCTCAGGAAGCAGCCTTCTTCAGTGCTTGACAGGGAGCAGGAAGCTAGGAAGCTTCTGCCGTCTTCAGCTGAGGCACTTTCAATTTATTACAAAGATCCTCAGGGTCACATTCAAGGCCCTTTCTCGGGTTCTGATATTATTGGATGGTTTGAAGCTGGATATTTCGGCATAGATCTGCCCGTTCGTCTTTCAAGTGCACCATTAGATTCTCCATTTTTATTGCTAGGTGATGTGATGCCACATTTGCGGGCTAAGTCAGGGCCACCATCTGGTTTTGCTGATGCCAAACAGAATGAATTTGTCAGTGTAGCTGGTAGGCCAACCTTTCCTGATTTAGGGAATGTACATCCTGGGTTCCGTGAGGTTGACATGATACGAAATGACCCAATGTATAAACATGTTTCAGCAACAGAAGCTGAAAATAGGTTTGTTGAGTCTCTGATGTCCGGGGTATTGAACAGTTCAGCTCAAGGTAAGTTTTATGTCTGGGGGTCTGATTATTTTTAATAATTCCTATTTACTTTCTCTCCAACGGCCTGTTAACACTATCCCCTTGTTTTTACTGTTTTTGCTTTTTAGGTGCAGGTGTTCAAGGGTATGCAGGAAATAATTCTGTTGGTCTTTCTTTGCCGGTTGCTGACGCTGGGAATGATGTGTATCTCTTGGCCAAGAAACTGGCACTTGAGCAACAGAATTCTTTACCTGGTCCATATTCGTTTTGGTCTGGAAGGGATGCTGCAAATGTCATGCCAGGTTCAGAGAGTATGTCAGAACCTGCACGGTCTCCAAGTTCTGGTTTACCTTCTATGCTCCAAGGTGTTGATAGGCTGTCTCCTGCCGTTAATAATCCTCTTTCTGCTTGGTCACATTTCTCTGCCCAAAGTGGAGTGGGATCTCATCAAAACAAAGTTGATTTGCCCCTTGCTCAAAGCTTCCAAACCCAATCACCCTTAGGGATCCAACCGCAGAGGCCGCAAGGACAGAATTCACCTTTGGCAGGTTTACTTGGTCAGCCTATTGAAAATAATTGTGCTGGCATTTTGCCCCTTGAAATGATGCTTGCCTCTGGACTACCTCAAGATCCACAGACGCTCAATCTGTTGCAGCAGCAGCTCGTGCTGCAGTTAAACTCACAGACGCTGGTTTCTTCCCAGCAGCAGCAGCAGCAGCAGCTTCTTTTGCTTGAGAAGATCCTTTTGCTGAAACATCAAAAGCAACAAGAAGAGCAACAGCAGATGTTGTGGCAGCAACAACAACTGCTTTCTCAAGTTCTTTCTGAGCAGCAGCGTATGGGAGAGTTATCTTATGGACAGTTGCAGCCATCTTTCGATGCTCTTAGGTTTCAACAATCTAGAGATATGCCTCAGATCTGTCAGCACATACCTCTCCCCTCAATAACAACCCAAGACTCTTGTCAGAATGTTGCTACTCCTGAGCTCTCCTCTTTGCACCTGCAACATCAGATGTTTGGTCTTGATAATTCTAGGATTAACCTGGGAACAGCTAGTCCTGATCAAATCAATGATATTCATGAAAAGGATTTACAGTCAGCATCTGGGGCTTATGAGAAAACGGTTCCTGACAGCTTGTATTCAGAGACATCTGTTTTTGCTTCTGGTTGTGAGGCAGCTCCAAATGTGGAGGAGAAATCTGATGAGAGCTATCAAAGCACTGGAAGTTTCGGGAATCAGGGAGAGTCTGCCTCTGTATTAGCTCCTGCGATCTGTGAAACTGAGGTGCCACTGCCTAAGGAACATGCCAAGGGCGTGAATGTTGAAGCGGATGTGCAACAGGAAGTTAGCGGCAACGAAGTCTTCGAAGCAAGGAAAATTTCTGAGAAGAAATCCAAGAAACAGCGAGCTAGCAAGCAGTCTTCTAAACAGGGGAAAGGAACATCTAAGGCTTCTCTGCAGGAGATAAAGCAATTGGTAGCAGTGAATGCTGATACTTCTAAAACAAAGAGTAAAGATCAAAACTCGGCTGATTCTTCTGTGGACAAGATCGATTCTCAACCTATTAAGAGCAACCCAATTACAAGCACCTCCCTGGTAAGTGATACAGATTCATACGAGGGCGAATCCTGTGCGAATGAGTCTTCAGTGCAAGACACACAAGCACAGCCTGGACGAGCTTGGAAGCCTGCCCCTGGGTTTAAGCCAAAGTCACTGTTGGAAATTCAGATGGAAGAACAGAGGAGAGCACACGCAGAAGCTCTAGTTCCAAAAGCTCCTGTTTCCGTCAGTTCAGTGGGTTTGGCAACCCCTTGGGCTGGAATTGTAGCCAATGCCGATCCAAGTATCCCAAAAGAGGCTCATGTAGAGTCAAATATTCCTGAGGCTAGTGTTGTGAAATCTGAAAAGATTCCTGCTCAGGGCAAGAAGAGCCACTTGCACGACTTACTGGCTGGGGAAGGTTTGGCAAAATCCAAAGAGAAGGAGAGGGAGGCAGTAGAGATGATCTCTAGCAACTCCCTTGTCCAATCGACAGCCACTCACACAGATTCTCTTGAGGAGGATAACTTTATCGAGGCCAAGGAAACAAAAAGGAGTCGCAAGAAATCTGCAAAAGCTAAGAATTCTTGCGCAAAAACTACTGCACCTGTTCCTACCGTCGATCCATCCATTACCTCTAGTTCCATTGACAAGGGAAAAAGCTCTCGGGTCATGCAGCAGGAGAAGGAAGTGTTGCCTGCCGTTCCCTCAGGCCCTTCTTTGGGAGATTTTGTTTTCTGGAAAGGCGAGGCTGCTGTCAATAATCCTCCGCCTGCTCCAGCATGGTCCACCGATTCTAAGAAATTCGCTAAACCCGCCTCTCTAAGGGACATACTGAAGGAGCAGGAGAAGACATCTTCCTCTCAACCTCTGATCCCGGTACCCATTTCTCAAAAATCTCCTCCATTTCAGGCTGCTTCTCAAAGCAGCGGGCTTTCTTGGTCAATCTCTGCATCTTCTCCCCCTTCTAAGGCTGTTTCTTCAGTCAAGACACATTCCCAAGCTTCCTCACAAACCAAATACAATGGAGATGACGATCTGTTTTGGGGTTCAGTTGACCAATCAACCCAAGTATCGAAACAGTATGGTTCTTTGAATCACCTACTCGTGCATCCGTTTTGGTTTTGTCATTGCTTTATCTTTTAGCTCATTCTTCGCTACTAATTGTCGATTTTCACTGAAACAGGGGAGACTTCCCTCATCTTACAGGCCAAAAGAGTTGGGGAACCAAAACCACTCCCAGGAAAGCAAATGCGGATAGTTCGCTGAATCGCCAGAAGTCAGCAGTAACAGTTGGATCTGCGGACCGGGTTTTGTCTTCACCCGTTGTTCCTCAGTCATTGCCCAAAGGGAAAAAAGACGTGATAGCACATACCGGTTAGCTTTGTGCCACATTTTATTCTTTTTCCAAAAGAATTCATTTTTTCTTATAATGTTCGTGGATTCTGCAGAGGCGAATGATTTCAGAGATTGGTGCAGAAACGAATGTGTCAGGCTTCTTGGTTCAGAAGGTAAAAACTCATGCTTTGTTTTAGCTTTTCAGTTTTTTCTTGTCTGCTTTCTAGTAGCGAGCGATGATGTGCGTCATCTCTGTGTCCTTGCTCAAGGTTAGAAATTGCAAGTACCCAAATACGTGGGACCCACCTGTGGGTATCCTAGCTTCGCGAGCCTCAGCCCCGTAAATGACAAGGTCGGGTGCATGGTGTCCGGAGACCTATGTCGGGTTTGAGGTCGTGTTATGTTTGGTTATTTTTATACTGGGCGAGAAACCCAAGGGGATGACCAAAGGTTAGATACATTGGAAAACTCGGGTATCTGACCTGAGTCCACCCCTAGTATTGTCTTGGATGCGGTAGCTTCTGTTGATATAGAATGAGACCATTCCTTGAGAGTATTGGTGATGTGAACATTTTGCCCTTTCTTCTGGATGGCCTTTTTGTCTTTCCATCAGATACGAGTGTGTTGGAGTTTTGCCTGAAGCTTCCGAGATCAGAAGCTGAAACCCTCCTGACTGAAAACCTCAGATCCGTCGATCGGGACCGCAAGTTCATCGACAGATTCCTCAACTACAAAGACTTTCTACCTGCTGAAGTGCTCGATATGGCATTTCGTTCGGGATCGGGATCGGGATTGGGGAGCAGCCAGAGAGAGAACGACAACTTGGCATCCGCGAACGAGAACGATGGGTTCTCGAAAGCAGGAGGGGGAAAGAAAAAGGGGAAGAAAGGGAAGAAGGTAAGCCCTTCTGTTCTGGGATTCAACGTCGTTAGCAACCGGATCATGATGGGAGAGATTCAGACCATTGATGACTAGGTTTAGGACATGCTTTTCTCTTTGTACATCTCTCTTTTAGGACAGACCTTTTTTCTCTGTTTCTCTTTCTAACTTAACTGGTGGATCCTGCTAATGTGATCTCTGTAGACGGCGATTTTGTTTCTGACTGTGAAGATGTCTTTTCATGTTTTCTATGTTAATTGATTTAGATAAGTAGGGGTTAGTTAATGCAAACCAAATCGGGGGTGAATTTAATAAATATTCACCGATTTTGCATAGAAGTATGAAAAATTTATTACTGCCGTTGAGTAATGTGTTAAATTTCAATCTTTGATTTGTTAAGTATAAATTTGAAATGAAATTATCTCAATATTCAATTTTTAGATATGACATATAGAATTGGACATGAAAAAATCAAATCATTTGGATTTTTGGCATAGATAACATTTAATTTTAGTTCAATATTAAATAATTAACACACTTACCTGGAGGCTGGAGACGTACGTGTTTTTTGGACAAAAAATATCCCAATATTTGTTTCATTTTTTTGTCGTTATCTCAAAAAATAATAATAAAAATTAGGGTTCTTCTATGTGATAAGTTTTTCGAATTTTGAATTAAAATAAAATAAAATATTATTGGATTGGATTCCATCGGATATACAATGTGTCCCCAGTCCCCTGTATAGCCACCGTATTGAAAGTTTGAAAATGTCAATAGACTTGGATTTTTGGTATACTTTGTCAACTGCCCCATATAATTTTAACTTTAATTGTCAGTCTCACCACGTCATATTCTAATTTTTTAATTATATAAATTCGAAATACTATATGTTATTTTTCATTTGTAATGTTTTATCCCATTCAATTTTTTTTAATTATTTTAAACAATAGCAGCGCTGGGTCAACTAAAACTATGTTTTTGTTTCCTTAGAAAAAACAATGTTCCATTTTTTTTACTCTTCCGTACTAAAAGAATAAAATTTGTCATCTCATTTTTTAAATTCTAAATGTTTATATCTCATGATAATGAGATACTATTATCTGAGAAAAACAATATACTACTAACTTGGAGGGCCTTTTTTTTTTTTTGTAAATGTCCAACAAAATCCCAAGAATAAAAAAATTTAGGAAAAATCCCAAAAAAATACACTGAACTTTTCAATTTTGACAAAAAAAATATCAAACGTTATTTTTTTTATCAAATAGACATTAATCTTTTTAAACGAATCTAAAAAACACTGAACTTTTTAAATGATCCATAAAATATATGAACTTTTCTCCGATTATCAAAAAAACACTGAACTTTTCTAGTGATAAAAAAATATATCTGAACTTTTTTCGATTGTAAAAAAACTAAGTAAAATAATCTGACATGTTTATATCTCATTGTGCTACATCAATCATTTTGTTTATTTTGACAATCATTGAAGAGTTAAGTGTTTATTTTGTCAAACTTAAAAAATTTAATGTTTATTTGATAAAATAAAAAGTTCAATGTTTTTTTGTCAAAATTTGAAAGTTGAGTATTTTTTTCCCCAAAAACTTATGAATAGGTTTTCTCTTTAAAAAAAAAGATAAGAAAATTACAGAATATATATTTAATTTATTACAGATAAATATGCCAACTCAATTGAATCGGTTATTACAAATAAGAGTCTTTCCTAAGAGAAACACTTATTTCCAAATATATAATTTATTACATCATTTTTGTCATTATCATTGGAAACTTGAAATATATATACAAACTAACAGTATATGCTTAAATTTTCAAACGTTTTCTATCTTTCCTTTTTTTCTATCTTATTTATTACACACTTTTTATTTATTGGAAGATAAATTTCCAGTCTACAATATAGACTTCACTTTCTAGAAATATACAAGACGTTAAATGTAAAGACTCGTCTTAAAAAAAATAGAGTTAATGTTTTTTTTAATTGATATAAATAAATCTGCATAACATCGTTTAGACCTGTCATCAAACAAAATTAAGAAAAATGTTATAATTTTTTTAAAAAAAAGGAAAATTCGAAAGATGTCCAAAATTGACTTGATCTAAGTAATTAATATCTCTAATTTTAATTGGATTGGAACCGTTATATCCTAATATTCTAAAAATTCTAATAAATACCATAACTTATACAATTAAAGACAGCAATTCTAAAGATGATTCATTACCAAAATCATAGTGATTTTCAACAACAAAAAAATCATAGTGATTCCATAGAATCTTTTTTTATTGGGTGATTTCAAATTTAATTACTGCTCAAAATGAGAATAAATGAAACGAGTACGTATAGGTATAAACACCATCTCCCACCGATTCCATAAAATATTTAATTTCCTAAAAGATAATTTATATATATATCATCAAAGATATCTTTTTTTTTACTTATTTTCTATATATAACTAAATATAATTTCCTAAAGATAACATCTCAACAAATTTGATTTTCAAATGTATCACTAATATTAATATTTTAATCCGAAGAAAAAGTATCGCTTTAAGAGGGATATGTCTTAGTTTTGGTTGGGATTATGTTGTAAGAGTAGGACAAAAACATTGGTTTGTTCGTTGGTTACAGTTAATAATACTTTCAAATTTCGAAAATAAAAATAAAAAGAAAGAAAAGAAAAAACTAAATTGATGAATGTCACGATCACGCGAGTCGTTGCGCCTGTAACCAACCCCACAGCAGAAGCTTGCCAAAAAGACCAATCTCTCTCTCTCTCGCCAAGCTCCTTCCTTCTCGATTCCTTATCTCCGGCGGCTTCACTTCCGATTCCGATAATCTTATCGCCGTCTCTGATTACGCTTCCCATCGCTTTTGCCGAAGAATCACCGTCCATGGAACCGTCTCTTTCCGTTACCGGCGCCGGAGAATCCAGACGCCGGTGTTAGGGTTTCTCTTTTGTTCGTTTTGACTCAGCTCGAGAAGATTTTTCATGGCGGAGGAAGAGAATCGCAAGGATCAAGGCGTTTCGTCTGAAGTTGCGATTCCTACAGGTTTGAACCGGATCAGGACTCGGTTAGCTTCAACAGGTCCGAAACCTGAAGATTCCGGGAATCATGGTTCCTTACGACCTCCTTTGAATCGTAAGCAGAAGAGTGTTGTTCCTCGCGGGCATGGCAGAGTCACAAGGTCTCCCAAACAAGGTTTTGTTTTATCTTGTTTCTCCTTATCTTTTTAGAAACAAGTACTGGATGTCGTCTTTTGAGTATTGGTGTAGAATTTTTTTTTTTTTTTTTGTGTGTATTGATGTAGAATCAGTCTTTCGTAAACTGATTCCTTGCTATTCTGAAGGTGATTTTGCAAATGAAACGTGTTCATATGGCAACCTAGTGAATTTGACAATCTAATTATCATGAATTTTGTCAAGATTATAGAGGTTCTTTTACTTGGCTTTGGAGAAACAAATTGAGGAAGACATATAGTTCCCAAAAAATGAAGAGAGTGATATAAAAGCTCGGAAATGCTATATAAATTCTAATTGTTAGATTTAGTTGCTGATGATCACACCTCGGAATTCCAGTTAATTCACTCTCTGCGGCATATTTGTATCAGAGCGTAAAGGAAAGAAGCTGTCGAGGTGGTTTGCGTCTTATATACCCAAGAATTCTTGGAATTCTCTTAAAGATGGTTGCTCGAGTAGTGAGGTAATATGTGGGTTAATGGGTTTTGTTTCTGATGGACTATAAAAAAAAGTTTCTTCTCTTTATCTCACGCCTGCATGTTGGTTGACTGTTTTATTACGGCAGTGGCTTGAATTAACTGGCTTGGTTTGGAAACAGGATATCAATATAAAAGTTAAGACGTCTGACAAAGACGAAGAGAGGATGGCCAAGCAGTCTGAAAGTAGTGTTCCCTATGGCAAGGTCTCAATGGGTATAAAGAGTTTCTCCCATGAATTAGGACCAAGGGGTGGCATTCGAACTGCTTATCCTCGACCTCACAGCTACAACGATTTAAAGGTAGCATTCAGTACAATTCAGTACCCAGGAGCTTGGTATGATTTGGCATAGTATTTTGATGATTATATCTGCTGCTGATATTTGCAGTGTTCTTTAATGGAATTTATAGCATGCATATGATCTTATAATATGAAATTCTGATCGTTTGGGTTCCAAGTCATTTTTAAATAACAGTGACTTTTTGAATTTGTTTTTGTGAAACTTTAAATATATTCCTTGTGGTTGTGGCGTATCAATAGCATAGGTATTCATATTATTTTTCATTGTCTGATTAACTTCACTGGCTTCTCTTTTTTCTGCTGGAGTTAATTCAGGAACTTCTGGGCTCTCTTCATTCTAGATTTGACGTTGCTAAGGAGATCGTGGATGAAAAGTTGGATGATTTTGTCATAGATGTGGAAGAGGCTATGGAAAAAATTGATTCATCGTGTCCTGAAGACCGAAAAATGGCAGAAGAGCTACTTAATCTGGCCCAGGATTGTATAGAAATGCCATCTGCTCAGCTTCGTTGTACTTGTGAATCTATTGTGCAAGATTTAACCAGAAAAAGGCAACAGTGTCAAGCTGGACACGTGAAGTGGCTGTTTACGCAGTTGCTTTTCATATTGACCCATTGTACAAGAGTTGTGATGTTTCAGAAAGAGAGTGAGCCAATTAACGAGAATTCCTTTCGTAAGTTTAAGGAATGTTTGGACAGCATCCCTGCAGTAGAAACAAATTGGGGAAATTCACCGGGGGTTGCTAATTGTGGTCCTGGTTATTCTGTATATCAAAGGAATGAAGCTGGGGAAAATTTCAAGATGCAGGACAATGAATCTATTGTTCCGGATGATCGCAAGGATAATGCTGCTAGAAAAAGTAGTGAGGTCCTTAAACAGAGATTTCCATCGCAGAAACCACAAGTTGATATTCGATTAGAGGAACAACGGTATGATTTGGGCGATGATTATCAAGAAGGGACACTGAATGAATCGGGAAAAGAATTTGGTGGATTTGATTCAGTAATCTGCAGGATATGCGAGGAGGAGGTTCCTCTATTGCATCTGGAGTCCCACTCCTACATATGTGCATATGCAGATAAATGTGAAATAAATTGTTCAGATGTGGACGAGCGCCTTTTGAAGCTTGAGGAGATACTAGAACAGATTATAGACTCACGGAGTTTAAATTCCTATTCTCAAGCTGGTGGCCCAGAAAACTCAGCTTTGCAGAAATCTGGAGTTGCATCTGAAGGCTGTTCTCCAAAGGTAAATGAATGGCGGAATAAAGGTGTTGAGGGGATGTTTGAAGATCTGCACGAGATGGACACGGCCTTCATAGACGAATCTTCGCTGCACCCTATTAATTTGAAGGGCCATATCGGAGCGAAGCTTTCCAATTACGGCACATCATCCTCAACTGGTAGCATGACGTCAGTATCTTCTACGAATACCCCTAGAACTAGCCACTTTGACTCCTTTTGGCTAGACCAGCATAGTACTGAGCAAGAGGATCTTCAACCGGTTAGTCATTTTCACTAGGCTCCCTCAGTTAGACATTCATCGTCTAGCGTAAATTTATTCTCGAATGATCTGCTGGCTGTAGTACCTTGCTGCCATGCAAGTCAATCCGTTCTTGTTCCCTATTTAACATCTACATTTTGAACTAAGTTATTATCTTGAGAAAATTCGGAGGTATAAGTTTCATTTCTCATCAAATCACTGAGCTGATGCCGACATCTTAAAGGCTATTGCATCAATTAGCTCAATTTGAATTACATAGAAGCTCAATACATTTCGGCGTGAATGCTGATACAAAATTTCACATGCTGAAAATTTCCCCTCTTTTTGTTGAATAACTCCACTCATTTTAGTAATCCATAATTTAATCAGCTTCTTTTGATGCATGTCTTCACTTGGTTACTTGAGCCAGGTGGGCATGTGGATATCATTTGTTTTTCACTGATTTCTTTTATTTTTCCAGAAAATATTAAGTATTCTGCACATAGATGAATGTTATATCCTCCCTTTGATCCTTTTATTTTGCAGATGATGGACCTTGCAGACATTGCTCGCTGTGGGGCAGGCACAGATCTCTCCCAAGCAGGATCGTGTGACTATCTGCTTGCCTGTATGCAAGACTTACAAGCTGTCTTAAAGCAAAGCAAGCTCAAAGCACTTGTAATAGATTCTTTTGGGGGCCGAATAGAAAAACTTCTTCGGTAAACACACCGTGTTATACAGTAATCACTGAATTCATTCTATAATTGCTATTAACCCAGATCTTAACATCTGCAGTGAGAAGTATATATATGCTTGTGAAATAGCTGATGACAAAAGTTCAGTGAGTCAAAGCAAAGAAAGTGAAACTATCTTGGAGAACACATCCCAAACTAGCTCAGGGACTGCTCCACAACTTCTGCAGAAAGACAGGACAAGTATCGACGACTTTGAGATCATCAAACCAATTAGCAGAGGTGCCTTTGGTAAAGTCTTTCTTGCACGTAAAAGAACAACAGGGGATTTTTTTGCAATTAAGGTAGATTGATTTTCTCTTCCATTTAGCAAATTTTGGCTTGCAGTATCACGTTTTTAGATTATAAATTTAGTGTGCCGTGAACCATATATTTCAATGAAATGCAACAGAATGAAAATATCAGCTAAAACAACAGTTGAAGTAAAGAAAACTGCGTTAGAATGGCTCTACCAAAAGAATACATGTCTGTGGAAAGCTTCTACAAAGTGACCCAATAATAATATGGATTAACTGGCTAACAAGTAACATCTACTTGTAATATCTTGCAATATTTTGGTTGTGGATGATATGCCCCACCGAAAATATGTGTATGCAGATGTGTCCAATATATCTCTTTCTTTCTTCTTGATTTTTGGTTGATGGTTCCTTGGTTTGTCCTCTCTTTTCAAAGTTATCAAACCGATAGTTTAATCCGGTTCTAGACAGCCTAGTTTTTAGGACCATTAAGTTCAAATTTCCTAGGATATCTTTACTCATAGTATTTAGTTTCTAATTATCATTCTTTCCTTGAAAATATCTTGAATAAAACCCATTTGTGTCAAGCGTTTTGGGAATTAGCTTCTCAATGTTCTAATCTAATTTACTCTATGTACACAGGTACTGAAGAAGTTGGATATGATAAGGAAAAACGACATAGAGCGGATACTGGCAGAGCGTAATATACTAATAACTGTCCGAAATCCCTTTGTGGTAATCTTCAGTGCTTCCAGTCGAAGCATATAAAAATTTCTTTGACTAAATACACAGTCTTGGTAATGATCTCGAGCCGATACTGGCAGAGCATAAAATACTAATAATTGTCAGAAGTGGTTTTGTCAATGCTTTTCTGTTGTCTAAGCATAAAATTAGACTTGGACTGAATATTTGGTTTTATTAATGCAGGTTCGATTTTTTTATTCATTCACCTGCAGAGATAACCTCTACTTGGTGATGGAATATCTTAACGGTGGTGACTTATACTCTTTACTCCGAAAAGTTGGCTGTCTTGAAGAAGATGTTGCTCGTATATACATTGCAGAACTGGTTCGTTAAAGACCTAGTATGAGTATGAATACACCAAAGTTACTGACTGACTCTTGAGGAAACAATTTTTATTTATTTCAGGTTCTTGCTTTGGAGTACCTCCATTCTCTGGGAGTTGTGCATCGTGATCTGAAGCCTGATAACCTGTTAATCGCTCATGATGGACACATCAAGGTCTGGTGTTCATGCTCTCCTGAACCTTATATTTTCTTGCAGATAATGTGCAGATGGTCGCAATATTCCTTGGTGAATACAATACCATCAGAAAGTTTAGAGATTTGTTTGTCTCTTACTTGTTAAAAACAAGAGATTTATACGCACATGATGTGCAAACTGCGTCATTAAAGTCCTATGCTCAGTCTATTTTGCATTGCATTGTAGTATTCAAATACTTTGTTTATGCTATTCCCATTCGACTTATTATTGTCTTTGTCACCAGCTAACAGATTTTGGGCTATCGAAGATCGGTCTTATAAACAACACTATTGATCTATCTGGACATGAGACGGATGCAGCTCCAATGTCAGGTGCTCATAATTTGCACAAGAAGCAGGCTGATGGCAGAAGAAGTCGGCAGTCAGCTGTAGGGACACCTGACTACCTAGCACCTGAAATTCTTCTTGGAACTGAACATGGTTTGGATATAACCTTTGAACGTTGTTAGGCTTTTGTTTAGTTTTTTTTTTTGTTTTTGTTTTTTGGCAACTAGAAGGCAATTCAATTTACCTTCTTGATGGTGCTTGCAGGTTACGCGGCAGACTGGTGGTCAGTGGGAATCATCTTGTTCGAATTGATAACTGGAATTCCACCATTCACAGCAGCTCGTCCAGAGGTAACCATTATCATTAGATTCCTTGCTCGATGTTCCATTTTTTTTTTGAAAAATCCCATGGCGGTTTATACCTGCTTAGGATATTGGTCAGGAGCCTCTGGCAAGTTTTTAGGCTAAAAACTTAGTTGTATGATCTTTGGTAGCCCAATGAGCCCAACACATATCATTATTATGGAGAAATCCGATCAGTAGGTTCGTATACCGCTTATCCTGGTTATGCATACTGTATACATGAATGCTTCATCTACTATTAGTTAAACAGCAATGAGAATTCCATAATATTTGATGCATCCATAATAGCTTTCTTTTGCCATCCCCTATTCCATTTCTGAATCAGTTAATTTTTGTCATCTTTTTGATGCACACCGAACTCTTGACGTAGTTCATTTTTTGACGGGCAAAAGTTCCATCTTTGCTGTGCAGATAATTTTTGATAACATTCTCAATGGAAAAATCCCTTGGCCAGATGTGCCTGGTGACATGTCATACGAAGCTCAGGATTTGATTTACAGGTCTGTTTCAGGCTTTCTAACTCGTCCATTTTCGTGTCAAGTTTGCTTCTTTTGCCAGATTCATTGGATAATTCTGGGCAACATGTTTTCCAACGGTTTTTAATCTGTGTATCGGAGGATTTCTGCCAGTTACCGTTTACTGAATTTTAGGCTGTAGGATGGTGGGGGTTGCATTTCTTGGTTCAATATGAGTTTGACATATTATGAGTTCTTCCATAGGCATATTAATTCATTTATTTCTTTCCCTTCTTTAGGTTTCTTGTCCATGAGCCGGATCAGCGTCTGGGGGCCAATGGAGCAGCAGAGGTTCCGTCAATTTCCTCTTACTTTTTTGTTTTTATCTAAAGTAACGGTTTTAAATCCCAGATAAGTTTGGAAGGATGACGCTGCAGTTGCAAGTAAATATTCAGATTCTCAGTGGTGAATCAGATCCCATTTTTTTTTTCCAGGTAAAGTCGCATCCCTTCTTTCAAGGAGTAGACTGGGAGAATCTCGCTATGCAAAAGGTAAATAATTGTTTTTACACACGCAAAAGAGAAGATGGTTAGAAAGAAAACAAGTGCATTGGCGGGGTTTTAGTCATTGCTGAAGGGGTTATAAGAAACAAGGATAAGGATCGAGTATATATGTACCTTTGGATAACATTACCATTTGTCTGAATTTGGGCAAACCTTACGTGGTCTTTGGTGGGGTAGGCTGCATTTGTACCACAACCGGAGAGTATAGATGACACGAGCTATTTCGTATCGCGTGGGGATGGAGACGATAGTTGCAGCGTCACCACCGACTTCGAAAACAGCGACTCTTATTCGGGAGACGAGGTAAAATTACTAGATAGATAGATAGATACACACTGATTGGGGTTGCCATTTCATCTTCCGTTTGGTTTCAGTTCGGTTTCAGGAAAAAAAAAACTATAACAGTATAATCATTCGGTTTTTATATTAAATTCGGTTCGATTCGATTTGGTTTCAGTTTTTATTTGATAAAAATACTCATCTGTAAAAGAATCTTTCAGTTTTTTCAGTATTAGTTCATTCGGCTTAGATAGGGGTTTGGTTAATCACATTTGTCATATATGCTAATATAACTCATTGTCATTGTTTATGGGGGATTGTTGTTAGATTGATGAATGCACGAACTTGGCAGAGTTCGACTCAGCAGCCCCATTGAATCTCTCCCTCATTAATTTCTCTTTCAAGGTATAACCTTCTCTCTCCCTGACTTGTATCAATTTGGTATTCGATAACATTCCGAAACCATGATTTCGTTTGATGTTTCTTGTGTTTTCTTTTAAAGAGTTCAGCCGTGACCTTTATGTTTATGTTTTTTTTTCCTGTTGTTTGTGAAAAAAATGTGCAGAACTTGTCACAGTTAGCGTCTATCAATCACGATGTGCTGTTGCAAAAGGATCCTGCCAAAGGCTCCTCCACTTATAAACCTCCGCCTCCAAGAACGTAAACCCTCATCTCTTTTCCACTTTATATATATATAGTAAGTTTTCTCTTTTCTTTTTTTTTAATTTATTCCCTTCCCAATCAATCGGGGATACCTCAGAAATGTGATTTCTGCACCACACAGAGTTTGTCTACTTTTGCTTCCGACGATCAAATATTTTGATATTTGGCCGATCGGTTTGTAGTTGCCGCAGAGGCTCACACACAACATCAAAAATCAATAAAATAATCAGACATTAGCCTCTTGAAAAAGGTTATGTATAATACTTTGCCCAAATTGAAGAATTCATTTGTTAAAAAAAAAAGTTCTATTTAGTTGGGTGATGATATTTTATGGGGTTCTCCCTAATATATATACATAAATCTGCTAAAACCCCAACACCCATCATTTCCCGTCTTTTCCCTCCCGCCCTCTTTGTTAAAAAGGGCCACGAATACGCGCAAGCCCAGAGACAGGCAGTTAAAAAGAGTTTCTGAAAATTATAAAAACAATTTGGCAAAAACAACAAAAATAACAAACTCGAGCCATGAGACTTCTCTACGTAGATCTCTTTCTAGATACGCCCCGACAATTTCCAAAAATAACGGATAGCAACGAACTAAAGAGCTTCTGATAAAAAAAATAATAATAATAATTGTATTGGAGAATTACCCATGTCTTGCAGCAGTAGTCTGGGGGATTTAATCGATCAGACAGGAACCGGTAAGCCTTTCTTCGCCATGCCATCGAGGATGTCGTTCAGAGCTTGGCATAATCCCGATATCTGAATAAAACAAAGCGTCCCCCATTTTTCAGCTGATTACCTTTCAAAAACCCAAACACGTAGTTTGCGAAGAGAGAAAAAATTCTTAAGGCAAGAACCTGATGGTCCCATTGTTGTAGTTCTTCAGTGTCATCCTCAAAGTGTATGACAGCCTCCACCTGAACAACACAAAAAGAAAAGAAGAAAAAAACATACAACAAAGGCTCATTCCATTTCGGGCCAAATATATTGATCAGGCTGGTTTAGAAATCTGGCATTGGTTAAGAGAGAAAAATCCAGTCATTGCTAACCTGGTCTATGGAACCCCTCATCCTATCTTCATAAATCATTTTCGATGCTATCTTCTCGGCCTGCCAAAAAAGAAAATCTACGGGTTAAGCGCTTGACTTCGTATTTTGCTCTTCTGTAACACATGAAAAAACATTTTCAAAAGGGAAGAAATGGAAATGGAGTTTGATTTCAATAATACCTTCTGCGGATCAATCCCTAGAAGCGTTCCCAACTCATCAAACCTAAGGCGTAAACACGTAGAGCACTAAATGGCATTAATATTTAATCATATAACCAGGAAAAAAAATCCACAAGAAAAAAAAAAGGAATGCATTACGTCTCCAACCTTATATTTGTGTAAAGTTTGCTTGCACTCAGAAGATTATGCTCAATCATTGCACGATCGAGAACAGTGAACTTATCAGGCAAAGACGCTTTCTGTCGAAAACACGATAAGGTCAAAACTTGTTATAAACAATGACATAACCACAACACAGAATATATGTGATCTGGATAACAGTTCGACCTGGTGGGGCCTCAGTTCTTCAGCAAAAGCATCAATCTCAGGTTTCCTCAAGATCCTTTCAAGATACACCTGGAATATTCATATTAAGGTTTACAGTTAATATGGATGGTGAAAATGGGAACCAGTTATCAGTTCATTTGTAAATCAAACCAAAGAAAATTTCCTCCGGACTTCAGGCATGTTCAGATAGTGCATGTCAAAGTGTTCTTGTATTTTAAACAACAATGCATCTACTAGGTGGTTCAGTAGAGAACCTTCTGCAATATAGGATAAATCTTCAACTTGGAGCACCGTTCATCCTGTTCACAAAAAAGAGATACCAATAAAAGAAACGAAAAAAGAACCATTGATCAGGAAGAAGAAGACTACATCCCACTGTGAATTACTTTATATAGAGTTGCAAGAACACGAGAACGCTGAGGACCAGCTCCAGCTAATATGGTACAGGTAACAGCAGCCGATAGGGCTTGTTCCAATGCATTCTCGTCAATTTCTCTGCAAGTATCATGAGGCATCAGAAACTTCCAGTATGAGGAAGGAATAACCACATCCCATGGCGGTAAAGCATTTCCTTCGAGAAGATGGAGAGAATATTCAATTGCATTTTCTGGAGGTGGAGGAAAACGGAAGACGGGAGCATTAAAAATGGGGATCCATGGATGATTAGAATCAAATTTTGGTAGCAGAGAGGAATACGTTCACTTACTCATCCCCTATTTGGCGTTTTTCAATCTGAGATATGTCATAATACCGTAATGCAGCCTCAAGGAATTTCCTTTTCATATCCAAAATTCTAGCATAGCACACCTGAAAAAGAAAAGGTTTTAACCCGACAGCCAAGTATTCCCTTATCTACCAGCGCAGCAACTGTTAATCACTGTCACCTAAGAGGCCAAACCTTATACTGTAAATTCAGTACTTCATTCTGACTATTGCTCACTAAGAAAGAGGCCTTGTTTATAAAAGCCTCTGCGTTTACAGCATCATCATCCTGCAGATGTTCCAGACACATTCAGATATGAAGAATATATCGAAATTATAAACTATTGAAGAAATAGCAGTGACTTCACAAAATTTTAGGCCACATAGCCCACAATTTAACTGCAATTTCAAAAGATATTCAACTGACATTGTCAGTAAGATGAAAGCCCCTAACATAGTAGACATTGATAGTTACATGAGACTTGAGTTTATCATTTCTCATCTAATGACCTGTCAACGTGCCTAATGGATCATGAAATACATATTAATACAATCCAATCGCTCAGAGTTAGAAATAACATACAGTTGATTTTAATCTTTATGATGAATTTTGTGTTCTGGACACGTTGCGAGCATTGTGGATTTAAGTGGAAGATTTTGAGAGAGCACATGAACACTTCAATGCAATGTTTCAGTTGCCAAAGAACATTTTTTGCTGTTGAGACCAGGTCTTATGGTCTTTCCCACCTTTGCACTTTCCTTCCTATAAGGATACGTGATATAGGTGCTTACAAACTCATGAATAGCACACATAAGTCATTCTGAAAAATGCATATGAAAGGGGAAGCCACACCTCAAGATATAAACGAGCAATTTGGATACACTTTGAGAGCTTGAAGTTATCGTCAACAGCCCTGCTAGATAATACAACGAATCAAAATAAGCTACCGCAAGGAATATAACAGGCACATATAGATGCAAGCTTACTTTCAGACCTCATTCCAGAATCTAGGTCAATGCCACTAAGCATCTGAGCTGCTTTTGACCATTGCTGCTCTGATTCATACAAGTCAGCTAGTTTTTCTCTGATAATGAGAGCCTGCAAAACCATTGGAACAGGTCTCTCTCACAATGTAGCAATTATCAATCAATCAAAATACATTCTAAAACCAGAATGAACACGAACCTGTTCCTCAAACGAAACAACCCTAGGCTGAATCTGAGAAAGTGTATAGCTCGCAATCTCCTTCTGTGTCTCCGGTTCCAATCGCCCCAACTCTTGTGCGAAAGATTGCAAAAGCTGCCTCGAGACCACCAACGGGACATCATCGGATAAAACTGGAAATATCAAACAGTTTCGAACCAAGAGTCATCCTCGAGAATAATTTTAAACAACATAGTTGGGAATTTAGACACTCCAGATCAAAGACAAAAGCGAAATCACGAGTACAAGCGGAAAACATGAAGTGAGAGAGCCAGGATCATAGAATGGTTTATAACTAAAACCTCGTGAATTCGAACCGAATCATTCGAAATTTATTTGCTCGGGAATCAAAAACTGAAGTGAAATCAGACAATGCGACAGAAAGAAATACTGTGATCGATGAACTTCTTGGCCTGGAGAAGATCGTTGGAGGAGAGAACAGAGGCAAGGATGAGCTTGTACTGTTCGATCTTCTGCCTCTGGTCAGCGATAGCCAAAGCATTTGCCAAAGCTTCTTCCATGGATCCTCTGCAACGATTCCTCTCTTCTGTTCTGGATTTTTTTCTTCGATTCGAAACCCTAACCTCTCTCGCTCTCTCTTATTTCTTTGCAAGAGAGTTCTAAAATAAACATTTCAATATAAGAAAAAAAAACTTTATATTGCAAATCGAAACAACCCAATACAAACAATTACAATTACTTGTCTAAATTTGAAAAAATGATGAAATACTTTACATTCATCTAAACAATTTATAGAGAAATGAAAAGAAAATTTCTAAATTAATTATTCTTATAAAATATTATTCGTAGAATATCACTTTGAATAATGGTTTTTCATCTTCAAAATTGGTGTATAATAATAAATAAAAATAGACCAATTGGACAATCTCGTTCATTGGTCATGAATCAACCTATAAAGTTCTAAACTTTTTGTCGTAGTAAAAAAAATATAAACAAATTCTGATTTATAGATCAACAATCTTTTTTATGTCGCAAATCTATATATTTTTGTATGGAAACTCGAACAAAAAGAAATTTAGAAGTTTTCGGATATTTTTACATATTTTTCAATCACTTTTTTTAAGAGATGTTTATTTTAAAAAAAATTTAAGTTGTTTTTACTTTTTTTTATCAAGTTTGCCTGTTGTAAGATTTGATAACCCAAGTTTTGTAACGGAGATTATATGATTGGATCTCTTCGGAATTGTAAAATTTTATTATTACAAAAATATTAGTAACGTGTATAAAATGAATGAAATAGTTTACCGAAATACTATAAATGATTATATCGACTTAAAACTAAATAACCGATTTAAATTGTTAAATGATATAATAATAAATTGTTTTGGTGCAAGAAATAAAAAAATATTTTAAATTTATTAATTACAATCGGATAGTTTTTTTTTCATTTTTACATAGCAACTTAATTTTCAGTTTAATATTTATGTGATCATTTTTTAAAAATTTTATATATTTCTATAAGATTTTTCATATTTTAAAACTATCATGAAATATCATAAATTTATCATTTTAAACTAAATAAATCAACTAATCTTTTATTTTCAGATAAATATAATAATTTATGTATTTAGTATTTTTTAGATGAATGTAAAGTATTTCATCATTTTTTCGTACAAATATAATAATTATAATCTGTAATAAATAAATATATACATAACTTGTTAGGAACGGGTGGTTAAAATTTTCATTTCGGCACGTATCCAACGTGAAGAAGTGAGACCCAGATTTCATCGTCAGCGATTACATCACACGCGCCGACACGGGTAATTAGACACGTGTCTTAATCCAACCGTTAGATTCTCTCCGACCGCGTGATGGATGGCAATTGACGAGGGAAATCTCTCAAATGACCGACTTGGGTCGCATCTATTTCACCTGTACACCACTAAAAACATAACACATTTTTTTCTCGTAAAAAGACGAAATTACTCTTAATAAATCACGATATTTATCCGTTCGAAAACAACTTCGTTATTACGACTTCGTAATTAATTCTAAATATAGTTACAAAAAGGTGGCAAAAAAAATTATCCGTCTTATTTTAGTTGTATATCAGTTATATGTTAGTCGCAAAAAGGTCGCAAAAAATAAAACGAAAAGGGTATTTTGGACTTTTTCAATTGAAAAGTGGGTTAAAATTGAAATTTTTTTTTTTTTTCTGGGTGGCGACCAAGTGGGTTATTAGGGTTAAAACCCCAATTGACGAGGCGGCTTCTATTCTTTATTTTTCAAACTTAAATTAAATATTCTTCGAAGTAATATTATATTTCCGACCCGCCTCTTCTATAAGAACCCATCGGGGACCAAGAAGTTTTTTAATCACCGAGAAAAACTGAAGAATTGAGATTCATCTGTGCGAGCTTCGATCGAAGAGAAAATGGCGGCTGAAGGAGAAGTGATCGCTTGCCATTCCGTTGAGGCCTGGACCGAGAAGTTCAAAGAGGCCAACGAATCTAAGAAATTGGTACTTTCGTTTTCTTATCGGTTCTCTGGACTCGTTTCCATGTGGTTGTTTTCTTAAAATGAAGAATTGCGGATTTGATGACTCCGATTCGTCTTTTGTTTGATTTGATTCCGATGCTTAACAATTTTAGGGTTCTATACCTGGTTTTCGTCCGTACGTTTCTATGGTTTCGAGGTTTTAGGGTTTATTTATTTATTTAGGCTAGAGAATTATGTCCAACGTTTGATTCGCGTACCGACATGGGAAAATCATCGAAGTATGAGTTTGTCCCGATCTGGATTCATAATCGGATTCGGCAGTTTCCTTCGACTTGGTTTTGATTGGAGAATTCTGAAACTCCAGTCGTCCAATTGTCCCTTTCGTCCAATATGAGCACTCCCCTCGTCGAGGCTGATGTTCTGAACTTCGGGATTTGATGGAATGATGTCAAAGGACGCAATCCTTTTGGTAATGATGTACATGTGATGCATCTGCATATCAGATACAGATTGATAGAGCATGAAACTTTTCGGATCTACAGCTTCTTATGCTGTAAACTATGCATCATTCGATGTCCTTGCAATGGAGTCGAAAAAGTTCTTCAGATTCCATTCTTTTGTACCCATTTCTTTGCGTCGCCCTTGATTCTGATCAAAACTGATGAAGAACAGGTCGTGATAGATTTCACCGCTTCGTGGTGCCCACCATGCCGTTTCATTGCACCGGTCTTTGCAGAACTGGCAAAGAGATTCCTCAATGTAGTGTTCTTCAAGATTGATGTGGATGAGTTGCAGGTGAGAGAGGCAACATTCTAATCCCGGAAATGTACAAATTATTTCAATATTACTATATCGGGAATTGTCAGATCCGGGTTTTGTCCTGACTCTGTCGCATCTGCAGTCTGTTGCTAAGGAATTCGATGTGGAGGCGATGCCGACATTTGTGTTCCTGAAGGAAGGGACTGAAGTAGAGAGGGTGGTCGGTGCTGACAAAGTGAAGATCGAGCAGACACTGAACAAACACGCCGCTACTACTGCCTCGGCTTGATCCCTATCCGAAGACATGCTTTGTTGCTCTTTCTATGTGTTTTGTTCTGTTTGCATCTTTGGTTATGTTATGGTAATAACAAAACCTTGTAGCCTATCCTATCTGAATGCTTTATGAACCGATTTATGTCCCCTTTCTGCTGTCTAACGTAGCTTGAATGAATCATCGGAGATTTCATTACGAGTTTATATGATCTGCACACTTTTTGGTTTTGTAATATAAGCCTAGTTTCTTGTTTTTACTTTCACAAGATTGCATTAGATATTGTCCAATTTCATTCAGGACTCCATCAGGTGAAATTTTCACGCTATGTTAACGCTTTTAGCGTAAAGAGAACGCAGTTAACGCTTGTAACGCAGTTAACGCTTGTAACGTAAAGAGAACATCATTTAGAAGATATACCAATCAAGCTCGACGCTAATTAGAAGGCCCAAAACAAGAGAAACGATCAACTATTTTTTGGCGAAAAGAAAATTAAAATTAAGAGAAATAAATTGGCAACACAGGAAACTTGTGGGTATCGCAAAGAACTTTTGAGACGTCACCAGTACACTCCCGAGAGATTTCCCCCTCCCGAAAAATTTCCGGCCTCCTCCTCTTTCTACTCAAGAGTCGTCCTATTGATTCCTCCCTTTGTCCTTTCACTCACTAACATCAGTTATTCAGTGGTACGTCTCTCTCATCCAAATCTGCTTTACCCATTTTCTAGGGTTTTGAATTTCGTATCGTTTCCCTGCAATTTGCTTTTCTAGGTGTGTTATATTTCTAGTTTTTCCCTCTGTTGTCTAGGGTTATTTTCCTAATTTCGCATGAGTTTGGCTTTGTTTACCATGTTTTGTATGAGAATTCAAATGAAATGAAGTTTTGTTTTGGCTTTGAGGTTGTTTTTTGGCATCAGCATCGCCTGGTTGTCACACAGGGAAGCGATTTTTAGGGGATTTTATTCTTGTTGTTTGGTTGCCGAGAAAATGGGAAGTTTGTGCATGGATCGCTCTAACCTTACTCGTTTCATGGAAAGTTTGTGCATGGATCGTTATGATCTTACTCGTTTCACTAAATCTTCAGGCTATTGTTTGATCGGCTTGTTTAAAAGGTGTATTCTCCTGTAAATGTAGTAGTAGGTGGTTACAGTTTGGTTTCCTGCATTTCTCCGCCGATCTTAGTTCAAATGCATTTTCGCTCCCGATTTCAATGTGAGTTTGTATTTGATTACGGAATTAGTGTACATTTTTTCTGAGACTTGGTATTATATATATACTATATAGACCTCATGTTGGTTCTTGAATTTGGTTTTAAGGTCTATTACTTCCTGCCAGTCCAGATTTCAATTGAAGTGTGCCAAATATTGCTCATGTGCTTTGTTCATTAAAATACTTGGGAATTGTTGCCACTGAAATGGTAAGCAGATTTCTTTTACGGTTCTGAGTTTCTGGGATTACATATTAGGATTAGGAAGTGTTAGATTGAAGAGAGAATGACTATGTGTTTGTTTTCTGTGGTCAGGGATGAGTTATCTTCTCTGGGTTGTTTTCTTCTTGAGGCTTAACCGAGCTTATTGACAAAATTGGTTTAACAATGGAATGCAACCAAAAAATGGCTATGAGGGCAAAGGAATTGGCAGAGGAGAAATTGCGGGCTGGGGATTTCGCTGGTGCCCGACAGCACGCCATGAAAGCTCAACAACTTTTTCCAGAACTGGAAAACTTAATGAAGTTGGTAGCGGTATGCGATGTTCACTGTGGTGCACAGAATAAGATTGGTGGACTGGAGAATTGGTATGGCATTCTTCAGCTAAATCGATTTCCCGACGAGGCTACAATCAAGAAGCAGTATAGAAAGCTTGTGTTGCTTCTCCACCCCGACAAGAACAAATTCGCGGGTGCAGAAGAGGCTTTCAAGTTGATTGGGGAAGCGTACAGATTGCTCGCTGATCCGACAAAACGTTCGCAGTATGCTATCAAGTACAGGATCTTTTCACGGGTTTATGCTTCTATACAAACGAACAGGAAGTCAAATACCAATTCTGACAGACAGCATGAGCCTGCAAATTCTGAGGGGAATCAAAAGCCAATTATGTTCTGGACGTGTTGTGAGCATTGTGGATTTAGATGCAGGTATTTGAGAGAGTACATAAACACTATAATGTATTGTTCCAGTTGCCAAAGATTATTTGTTGCTGTTGAGACCAGGACTTATGGTGTATCACCCAGATCAGCCCCTTTTCAGTTTCGAAGAAAAAACGAGGTTCCAAGTCAAGGGCCAGGCAATGTGCCTCAGCAGAACCGTAGTCAGCCTACAGGAGAACGATCAGGAAATGCACCGACCGAGATGGATACAATCCCGATGAAGGCATATCAGAAAGATTATACTGAAGTAAGGAAACCCGGGACAGAAAAGGGGATTGCAAATGGAGATGCCAAAGTTAGTAAAGCCGAGGATAGCAAGGGAGCTAAGATGAGTTATGCCGAAGTACCAAAAGTTAAAGCAGTGAAACGGCAATATGAAGTTAGAGGGTCAGAGGGTGGTGCGGCAGTGCCTAAACCTGGTGTAATAAACCCTAAGGGTGATAAGGCAGCGACTGTAAAAAGAAAGGCAAGAAAGATGAGAAAGATTGTAGAGGAATTAAGTGAGAGATTTGAGATTGATGGATATGACAATGTCGGGTCTGTAAAGGCTGTGGGTGGAAATAATAAGAGAAGCTCTCTGAGGCAAAATCGGAAAGTATCTTATGCAAATTCTGAGGGGAATCAAAAGCCAATTAGTTTTGTGTTCTGGACGTGTTGCGAGCATTGTGAATTTAAGCACGGGTTTTTGAGAGAGTGCATGAACACTTTAATGCATTGTTCCAGTTGCCAAAGATCATTTGTTGCTGTTGAGACCGGAAATTATGATGTATCACCCAGATCAGCCCCTAGTCGGTTTCCTAGACAAAATGAGGTTCCAAATCAAGGGCGAGACAGTGTGCCTCTGCGGAACAGTAGCACAGAGCCTACAGGAGGGCGGTCAGGAAACACACCTATCGAGATGGATACAAACCTGAAGCAACCTGCAAATTCTAAGGGGAACAGAAAGCCGATGAATTTTGTGTTCTGGACGTGTTGTGAGCATTGTGGATTTAGGCACAGGTTTTTGAGAGAGTGCATTAACACTTTAATGCATTGTTCCATTTGCCAAAGATCATTTGTTGCTGTTGAGACCGGAAATTATGGTGTATCACACAGATCAGCCCCTAGTCGGTCTCCTAGACAAAATGAGGTTCCAAATCAAGGGCCAGACAGTGTGCCTCTGCGGAACAGTAGTGCAGAGCCTACAGGAGGGCGGTCAGGAAATGCATCGACCGAGATGGATACAAACCCGAAGGATCCTGCAAATTCTAAGGGAAATCTAAAGCCGATGAATCTTGTCTGGACGTGTTGTGAGCATTGTGGATTTAGGCACAGGTTTTTGAGAGTGTTCATGAACACTTTATTGCGTTGTTCCAGTTGCCAAAGATCATTTGTTGCTGTTGAGACCGGAAATTATGGTGTATCACCCAGATCAGCCCCTAGTCGGTTTCCTAGACAAAATGAGGTTCCAAATCAAAGGCCAGACAGTGTGCCTCTGTGGAACAGTAGCGCAGAGCCTACGGGAGGACAGTCAGGAAATGCACCGACCGAGATGGATACAAACCTGAAGGAGCCTGGAAATTCTAAGGGGAATCTAAAGCCGACGAATATTGTCTGGACGTGTTGTGAGCATTGTGGATTTAGGCGCAGGTTTTTGAGAGAGTTCATGAACACTTTAATGCATTGTATCAGTTGCCAAAGATTATTTGTTGCTGTTGAGACTGGAACTTATTGTGTTTCAACCAGATCAGCCCCTTGTCAGTTTCCAAGACAAAATGAGGTTCCAAGTCAAGGGCCAGGCAAAGCTGAAGTACCAAAAGCTAATGCAGTGAAGCGGCGATACGAAGTTAGAGAGTCAGAGGGTGGTCCAGCAAAGCCTAAACCCAATGTAACAAACCCTAAGGGTGATAAGGTAGCAACTGTAAAAAGAAAGGCGAGAAAGAGGAGAATTCAGATTGACGGATTTGATAATCTCGGGTCTGTAAATGCTGCGGATGGAAATAATAAGAGGAGCTCTCTGAGGCGAAAGCAGGTGTCTTATGCAGAGAATGGAGGCGATGACGATATTCTAAGCCCTCCGACAAAAAGATCGAAATTGCATAGGGGATTCAAATTTGATGCTGAAGGGGCATTTCCATCAAGTAAAGGTGAGAAAATTGATAATGTCTCCGAAGCTGACAGTGAAAATCCTCAATCGGAGGAATTTCCAGATCCAGATTTTAGTAATTTTGACGAGAAAAAGGGCGGATTCTCTGTCAATCAAGTGTGGGCTCTCAAAGACTCTCCGAATGGCATGCCACGGTTATATGCTCAGATCGAAAAAGTGTCCACTGCCCCGCTTAGGCTTCAGATGAGTTGGCTTGAGCCTCTACCAGTTACAAAAAACGAGATCCGTATTCCGGTTTCTTGTGGAAAGTTTAAGAGCGGGGTAACGGAACAAATAGATGATTTCCGTACGTTTTCTCATCAGGTGCATTGTATCGAACAAGGCTCTCACCATTTCATATACCCACAAAAGGGAGAAACCTGGGCTGTTTTCAGAGATTGGGACGTCAGTTGGAGTACTGACCCAGCTAGGCATAAAGAACCGTACGAATATGAATTCGTCGAAGTGTTGACCGACTTTATGGAGACGCCTGATGATGATAACGGTATCTGTGGCATCGGAGTGTACTATCTTGAAAAGGTGGAAGGATTTGTTTCGCTCTTTGTTCGGGCAAAACACCGTAAGGTTCTAGCATGCATCTTTGAGCCGAGGGAAATGTGTAGGTTTTCTCACAAAGTCCCGTCGTTCAGAATGACTGGGACAGAAGGAGAAGGCGTCCCTCCCGGGTCATTTGAGCTCGACCCTTCTGCTCTACCGAAAGATATCTTTGACTGATCCTCGTAAAGATGATGCCAAGATTGGCGGCCGGAATCTGGATGGCATGGCGGGTGGAGAGAGTGTTTGTTCTCAAAAGAGACGTCGGGAAATTGAAAGAGAGAATGGTTCAATTGCCAAAGTGCCACTGCACGTTTACAAACGGTTTACTCATGGAGTGAATAAGAATTCACCTCCGACGTCAAAGTAAAGCTGACATGTCTTAAAGTAGCTAACTTCTTGTTTTTCCCAGTATGGTAGCAGCGGTTCGTTTTCAGACCTCTTTTTTTTTACTTATTTATCCAGACGGTTTAGTAACATTATGACTGTTATCGTATATTCAATGAATGTTGGGTTCAGTTAAATTACAGATACACTTCTGTTCGTTTCAGCTAATCGATTAATAACCAAAATAGTTACCCCTAAAGAAAATGTATTAGAACAAAGTCTCGATCGAATACAAAACCGAACCAGGTGAACCAAATTCATCGACAAATTTCGTTCGTAGGTTATACTTCTATATCGGGAATTGTCAGATCCGGGTTTAAGTCCTGACTCTGTTGCATCTGCGGTCTGTTGCTGAGGAATTCGATGTGGAGGCGATGCATTTAATATCAATCAAGGTCGACGCTGTTTAGAAGAAGGCATCAAGCTTTATTTGCTCTAAGCCTAAAAGTATAACTCAAAGATATATCGTTTTTAAATCATGAATATCTGCATGCGACATTATCTATTGGAACTTGAAAACCAAGCAAGGATTATAATTATCCACACCAAATATATATATAATGTAACCCACATGTTTGTGGTTGAGTGGCTACCGGGTTGATCCAAATGACCTTTACGTCAAGCGTTCGATCTTCCAGTGGGGAAGGAGAGACGTATTTAATTTCGTCTCTTTCCAAGAAACCGTCGTCGAGCCACGGGTTGAGAGGATGAGGAGTGGTTAGATGCGTTTTAAAAACCGTTTTCGGATCTAGGGATGTAGGTTGGGTCGAAAGCCAACTTTTAACCTCTTGGTTAATAAAAAAATAAAAAATAATATATATATATATATATATGTTTTGTATATACATATGTATATATCTATATATATTTATTTTTATTTATATCTTATATATTTATTTATTTTTCAATTAATTAATTATTATTTATTTGTTTATTTTTATAGCCGGTTGATGCTGCTGTGGTAGAGATGAACAAATGTTAACTTGCAGAGCACGCTCAAATGCCACGTCATCACGTCTACATCATGTTAGTACGTAGGGATTGTTTTTTTGGTCAAAATTTAGGAATTTAAGTATTTGTTTTGGATAAAATATAACAGTTGATATTTTTTACAATATTTTTAGTCTATGTATTACAGTATTAATTTGATAAATTCGAAAAGTTTTGGATGTTTATTCCATTTTCGTATTTTTTTCAAAATGGCCCAGAACAAGTATTTTTCTGGCTTCCTTCTCTTTCTACTCTCAAGAGTTTCCTCCCCTTGCCCCTTCACTCACTAGCATCAGTTGTACGTCTCTCTCATCCAAACCTTCTTTACCCATTTTCTAGGGTTTTGCATTTCTCATCGTTTCCCTGCAATTTGCGCTTCCCGGTATGTTATGTTTCGAGTTTTTCCCGCTGCTGTCTAGGGTTATTTTCGTAATGTCGCATGATTTTAGCTTTGCTTACCATGTTTTGGTATGGGAATTCAAATGAATGTTGTTTCTTGGTACCAGCATCGCCTGGTTGTCACACAAGGAAGCGATTTTTAGGGGGTTTTGTTCGCCTCGTTCATTTTTTTTTTCCTTTTTGTTTGGTTGCCGAGAAAATGGGAAGTTTGTGCATGGATCGCTCTAATATTACTCGTTTCATGGAAAGTTTGTGCATGGATCGTTATGATCATACTCGTTTCACTAAATCTTCAGGCACAGTTTGGTTTCCTGCGTTTCTCCGCTGATCTTAGTTTCAAATGCATTTTCGCTCATGATTTCAACATTGGATGAGATATGGGTTTGTATTTGATTACGAAATTAGTGTACTTTATTTTTTCTGAGACTTGGTATTATATATATACTATATAGACCTCATGTTGGTTCTTGAATTTGGTTTTAAGGTCTATTACTTCCTGCCAGTCCAGATTTCAAGCTTCCCAGGATTGTTTGTGTTGAAGTGTGCCAAAAATTGCTCATGTGCTTTGTTTATTTGAAGACTTGGGAGTCGTTGCCACTGAAATGGTAAGCAGATTTCTTTAACGGTTCTGGGTTTCTGGGATTACATATTAGGATTAGGAAGTGTTGGATTGAAGAGAGAATGACTATATGCTTGTTTCCTATTGGTCAGGGATGGGTTATCTTCTCTGGGTTGCTTTCTTCTTGAGGCTTAACAGAGCTTATTGACTGAGATTGGTTTAAGAGTTTACTCGGCCAACAATGGAATGCAACCGAAAAATGGCTATGAGGGCAAAGGAATTGGCAGAGGAGAAATTACGGGCTGAGGATTTCATTGGTGCCCGACAGCTCGCCATGAAAGCTCAACAACTTTTTCCAGAACTGGAGAAATTGATGCAGTTGGTGGCGGTATGCGATGTTCACTATGCTGCGCTGAATAAGATCGCTGGACTGGAGAACTGGTACGCCATTCTTCAGCTTAACCGATTTGCCGATGAGGCTGCAATCAAAAAGCAGTATAGAAAGCTGGTGTTGCTTCTCCATCCCGACAAGAACAAATTCGCGGGTGCAGAAGAGGCTTTCAAGTTGATTGGGGAAGCGTACGGATTGCTCGCTGATCAGACAAAACGCTTGGAATATGACATCAAGTATAGGGTGTTTTCACAGATTAATGCTTCAATACAAATGAACAGGAAGTCCTATACCAACTCCGGCAGACAGTATGAGCCTGAAAATTCTGAGGTGAATCGAAAGCCGACGAATTTTGTGTTCTGGACGCGTTGCGAGCATTGTGGATTTTGGTGGAGGATTTTGAGAGTATACATGAACACTTCAATGCAGTGTTCCAGTTGCCAAAGAATATTTTTTGCTGTTGAGACCAGGTCTTATGGTGTATCGCCAACATCAGCCCCTAGACAGTTTCCTAGACAAAATGAGGTTCCAAATCAAGGGTCAGGCAATGTGCCTCTATGGAACAGTAGTGCAGAGCCTACAGGAGGGCGATCGGGAAATGCACCGGCCGAGATGGATACAAACCCAAATGAGCGTGCAAGTTCTGAGCCGATGAATTTTGTGTTCTGGACATGTTGCGGGCATTGTGGATTTAGGTGCATGTTTTTGAGGGAGCACATGAACACTTCAATGCAGTGTTCCAGTTGCCAAAGAACATTTTTTGCTGTTGAGATCGGGTGTTATGGTGTATCGCCAAGATCAGCCCCTAGACAGTTTTCTAGACAAAATGAGGTTCCAAATCAAGGACCAGGCAATGTGCCTCTGCAGAACCGTAGTGCAGTGCCTGCAGAAGGACGATCAGGAAATACACCGGCCGAGATGGATACAAACCCAACTGAGCCTGCAAATTCTGAGCCGATGAAATTTGTGTTCTGGACGTGTTGCGGGCATTGTGGATTTAGGTGCACGTTTTTGAGAGTGTACATGAACACTTCAATGCAGTGTTCCAGTTGCCAAAGAACGTTTTTTGCTGTTGAGACTGGGTCTTATGGTGTATCGCCAACATCAGCCCCTAGACAGTTTCCTAAACAAAATGAGGTTCCAAATCAAGGGCCAGGCAATGTGCCTCTGCGGAACAGTAGTGCAGAGCCTACAGGAGGGCAATCAGGAAATGTACCGACCGAGATGGATACAAACCAAAATGAGCCTGCAAATTCTGAGCCGATGAAATTTGTGTTCTGGGCGTGTTGCGGGCATTGTGGATTTAGGTCCACGTTTACGAGAGAGCACATGAACACTGCATTGCAGTGTTCCAGTTGCCAAAGAACATTTTTTGCTGTTGAGGCCGGGCCTTATGGTGTATCGCCAAGATCAGCCCCTAGACGGTTTCCTGAGGTTTCAAATCAAGGGCCAGGAAATGTGCCTCTGCGGAACAGTAGTTCAGAACCTACAAGAGGGCGATCAGGAAATGCATCGACAGGGATGGATACAAACCCTAATGAGCCTGCAAATTCTGAGCCGATGAATTTTGTGTTCTTAACTTGTTGCGGGCATTGTGGATTTCGGTGCATGTTTTTGAGAGAGTACATGAACACTTCAATGCCTTGTTCCAATTGCCAAAGATTATTTGTTGCTGTTGAAACTGGGACTTATGGTGTATCACCCAGATCAGCCCCTTATCAGTTTCGAAGAAAAAACGAGGTTCCATGTCAAGGGCCAGGCAATGTGCCTCTGCGGAACAGTAGTCCACAGCCTACAGGAGGGCGATCGGGAAATGCACCGGTCAAGATGGATACGAACGCGATGAAGACAGATCAGATAGATGATACTGAAGTAAGGAAACCTGGGACAGAAAAGGGGATTGCAAATGGTGACGCGGAAGTTAGTAAAGCCGAGGATAGTAAGGGAGCTACGATGAGTAATGCCGAAGTACCAAAAGCTAAAGCAGTGAAGTGGCAATATGAGGTTAGAGAGTCAGAGGGTGGTGAAGCAAAGCCTAAACCTGATGTAACAAACCCTAAGGGTGATAAGGAAGCGACTGTAAAAAGAACGGCGGAAAAGAGCAGAAAGATTGTAGAGGAATCAAGTGAGAGTTTTGAGATTGACGGATTTGATAATGTCGGGTCTGTAAATGCTGCGGATGGAAATAAGAAGATGAGCTCTCTGAGGCGAGAGCGGAAGGTGTCTTGTGGAGAGGATGGAGGCGATGGCAATATTCTAAGCCCTCCAACAAAAACATTGAAATTGCATATAGGATTCAAATCTGATGCTGAAGAGGCATTTCCATCAAGTAGGTTTGAGAAAATTGATAGTGTCTCCAAAGCTAATAGTGAAAATCCAAAATCAGAGGAATTCCCGGATCCAGATTTTAGTAATTTTGACGAGAAAAAGGGCGGATTCTCCGTCAATCAAGTGTGGGCTCTCAAAGATTCTCTGGATAGCATGCCATGGTTCTATGCTCGGATGTTCACTGCCCCGCTGAACCTTCAGATGACCTGCCTTGAGGCTCTACCAGTTACAAAAAACGAGATCCGTATTCCGGTTTCTTGTGGAAAGTTTAAAAGCGGGGTAACGGAAGAAACAGATGATTTCGGTACGTTTTCTCATCAGGTGCATTGTATCGAACAAGGCTCTCACCATTCCATATACCCACAAAAGGGAGAAACCTGGGCTGTTTTCAGAGATTGGGAAATCAGTTGGAATACTGACCCAGCTAAGCATAAAGAACCGTACGAATATGAATTCGTCGAAGTGTTGACCGACTTTATGGAGACGCCTGATGATGATAACGGTATCTGTGGCATCGGAGTGTACTATCTCGAAAAGGTGGAAGGATTTGTTTCGCTCTTTGTTCGGGCAAAACACCGTAAGGTTCTAGCATGCATATTTGAGCCGAGGGAAATGTGTAGGTTTTCTCACAAAGTCCCGTCGTTCAGAACGACTGGGACAGAAGGAGAAGGCGACCCTCCCGGGTCATTTGAGCTCGACCCTTCTGCTCTACCGAAAGATATCTTTGAGACTGATCCTCGTAAAGATGATGCCGAGACGGGCAGCCAGAATCTGGATGGCACGGCGGGTGGAGAGAGTGTTTGTTCTCGAAAGAGACGTCGGGATATTGAAAGAGAGAATGGTTCAATTGCCAAAGTGCCACTGCAGGTTTATAAACGGTTTACCCATGGAGAGAAGATGAATTCACCTCCGACATCAAAGTAAAGCTGATATGTCTTAAAGTAGTTAACTTCTCGTTATTACAAGTATCGTAGCAGCGGTTCGTTTCCCGACCGTTTATTACCTATTTATCCATACTGTTGTCGTATCTTCAATGAATGTAAGACAAGACAAAAGAGGAAAACTAGAAGTGGTCATTTTCGGTTATAGGAAAACGGTGTTGGGTTCAGTTAAATTACAGCTACACCTTTCGATTGAGTTCTTTACAGCTATTCGATTAATAACCATAATAGCTACCCGTAAAAAAAATGTATTAGACAAATTATTCGGAACACCTGCCAACAATTTCTTTCATATAGGGTAGGAAAAATACAAAGTACTTCAATTTACTTTTTGTTTTGGTAACAATTGGGAACACGTCTCACACCTCTTCAGATACACCCGTCCGATCTCGCGGGTCGGACAACATCTCGGACAGTAAACCCACCAGACTCTACACAGTAACCGACAAACCATGCGAAACAGGTAAATCAGTTAAAACTGACCAGTTCAAAGAAAACTCAGACCTCAAAAAAAATCGAACCCACAATCATGCACACAATTTAGAGAAGTATTCCAATATTACTTATCGAGAAATGTCAGATCCGGGTCTAATCCTAACTCTGTTGCTGAGGAAGGAATTCGATCGGGAGGCAATGCCGCTACAACGCAGTTAACGCTTGTAACGCTTTGTGCTTTATCACCATGTATTTTGGTCTACACGTGTTTAACATCATTTAGAAGATGATATCAATCAATCAAAGTTTTATTCGTTCTTGGCCTAAAAGGATAACTCAAAGATATATCGTTTTTAAATCATGAATATCGGCATGCGACATTATCTGTTGGAACTTGAAAACCAAGCAAGAATTATAATTATCCACACCAAATGGATGGAGTAACCTAACAAAGAGAATAATGTGTATATATGTATATGCACGTGTATATATCTATATAAATTTATTGATATATTTATTATTTAATTTTCAATTAATTAATTATTATTTATTTGTTTATTTTTATAGACGGTTGATGCTATGGTACTAGAGAGAATCAAATGTTAACTTGCCGAGCACGCTCAGATGCTACGACAAATGCCACGTCATCATGGTAGTATGGAATTTTTTTTTCAAAATTTAGGAATTGAAGTATTTGTTTTGGACAAAATATAATAGTTGATATTTTTTTTTTACAAAATTTGTAGTCTTATTTTTGGATGTTTGTTTGATTTTCGTATTATTTTGGCAAATTTAAATTAAGAGAAATAAATTGTCGAGACCGAAATGTTTCCCTCCGGAAATCCTTCCCTTTCTACGCTCAGGAGTCGTCCTGCTGATTCCTCCCTTTGCCCTTTCACTCATCAGCATAAGCTGTACGCCTCTCTCTCTCATCCAAATCTTCTCTACCCGTTTTCTAGGGTTTTGCGTTTCTCGGTATGTTATGTTTCGACTGGAAAGTTTGTGCATGGATCGTTATGATCGCACTCGTTTCACTAAATCTTCAGGCTATTGTTTGAACGGTGTATCCTCCTGTAAATGTAGTAGTACGTGATTACAGTTTGGTTTACTGCATTTCTCCGCAGATCTTAGTTTCAAATGCATTTTCGCTCATGATTTCAAAATTGGATGAGATATGGGTTTGTATTTGATTACGAAATTAGTGTACTTTATTTTTTCTGAGACTTGGTATTATATATATACTATATAGACCTCATGTTGGTTCTTGAATTTGGTTTTAAGGTCTATTACTTCCTGCCAGTCCAGATTTCAAGCTTCCCAGGATTGTTTGTGTTGAAGTGTGCCAAAAATTGCTCATGTGCTTTGTTTATTTGAAGACTTGGGAGTCGTTGCCACTGAAATGGTAAGCAGATTTCTTTAACGGTTCTGGGTTTCTGGGATTACATATTAGGATTAGGAAGTGTCGGGTTGAAGAGAGAATGACTATATGCTTGTTTCCTATTGGTCAGGGATGGGTTATCTTCTCTGGGTTGTTTTCTTCTTGAGGCTTAACTGAGCTCAGTGACTGAGATTGGTTTAAGAGAGTTTACTCGGTCAACGATGGAATGCAACCAAAAAATGGCTATGAGGGCAAAGGAATTGGCAGAGGAGAAATTACGGGCTGAGGATTTCATTGGTGCCCGACGGCTCGCCATGAAAGCTCAACGACTTTTTCCAGAACTAGAGAAATTGATGCAGTTGGTGGCTGTAAGCGATGTTCACTGTGCTGCGCTGAATAAGATCGCTGGACTGGAGAACTGGTATGCCATTCTTCAGCTTAACCGATTTGCCAACGAGGCTGCAATCAAGAAGCAGTATAGAAAGCTCGTGGTGCTTCTCCATCCCGACAAGAACAAATTCGCGGGTGCAGAGGGGGCTTTCAAGTTGATTGGGGAAGCGTACAGATTGCTCGCTGATCAGACAAAACGCTTGGAGTATGACATCAAGTATAGGGTTTTTTCACAGATTAATGCTTCAATACAAATGAACAGGAAGTCCGATACCAACTCCGGCAGACAGTATGAGCCTGCAAATTCTGATGTGAAACGAAAGCTGATGAATTTTGTGTTCTGGACACGTTGCGAGCATTGTGGATTTAAGTGGAAGATTTTGAGAGAGCACATGAACACTTCAATGCAGTGTTTCAGTTGCCAAAGAACATTTTTTGCTGTTGAGACCAGGTCTTATGGTGTATCACCAAGATCAGCCCCTAGACAGTTTCCTAGACAAAATGAGGTTCCAAATCAAGGACCAGGCAATGTGCCTCTATGGAACAGTAGTGCAGAGCCTACAGGGGGGCGATCAAGAAATGCACCGGCCGAGATGGGTACAAACCCAAATGAGCCTGCAAATTCTGAGCCGATGAATTTTGGGTTCTGGACGCATTGCGAGCATTGTGGATTTAGGTGGAGGATTTTGAGAGAGTACATGAACACTTCAATGAAGTGTTCTGGTTGCCAAAGAACATCTTTTGCTGTTGAGACCGGGTCTTATGGTGTATCGCCAACATCAGCCCCTAGACAGTTTCCTAAACAAAATGAGGTTCCAAATCAAGGGCCAGACAATGTGCCTCTGCAGAACAGTAGTGCAGAGCCTACAGGATGGCGATCGGGAAATGCACCGGCCGGGATGGATACAAACCCGAATGAGCCTGCAAATTCTAAGCCAATGAAATTTGTGTTCTGGACGTGTTGCGGGCATTGTGGATTTAGATGCATGTTTTTGAGAGAGCACATGAACACTTCAATCCAGTGTTCCAGTTGCCAAAGAACATTTTTTGCTGTTGAGACCGGATCTTATGGTGTATCGCCAACATCAGCCCCTAGACAGTTTCCTAAACAAAATGAGGTTCCAAATCAAGGGCCAGGCAATGTGCCTCTGCGGAACAGTAGTGCAGAGCGTACAGGAGGACGATGGGGAAATGCACCGACCGAGATGGATACAAACCTGAATGAGCCTGCAAATTCTGAGCCGATGAAATTTGTATTCTGGGCGTGTTGTGGGCATTGTGGATTTAGGTCCATGTTTTTGAAAGAGCACATGAACACTGCATTGCAGTGTTCCTGTTGCCAAAGAACATTTTTTGCTGTTGAGGCCGGGCCTTATGGTGTATCGCCAAGATCAGCCCCTAGACTGTTTCCTGAGGTTCCAAATCAAGGGCCAGGCAATGTGCCTCTGCGGAACAGTAGTGCAGAGCCTACAGGAGGGCGATCGGGAAGTGCACCGGCCGAGATGGATACAAACCCGAATGAGCCTGCAAATTCTAAGCCGATGAAATTTGTGTTCTGGACATGTTGCGGGCATTGTGGATTTAGGTGCATGTTTTTGAGAGAGCACATGAACACTTCAATCCAGTGTTCCAGTTGCCAAAGAGCATTTTTTGCTGTTGAGACCGGGCCTTATGGTGTATCGCCAAGATCAGCCCCTGGATGGTTTCCTGAGGCTCCAAATCAAGGGCCAGGCAATGTGCCTCTGCGGAACAGTAGTCCACAGCCTACAGGAGGGCGATCGGGAAATGCACCGACCGAGATGGATACGAACGCGATGAAGGCAGATCAGAAAGATGATACTGAAGTAAGGAAACCTGGGACAGAAAAGGGGATTGCAATTGGCGATGCCAAAGTTAGTAAAGGCGAGGATAGCAAGGGATCTACGATGAGTAATGCCGAAGTACCAAAAGCTAATGCAGTGAAACGGCAATATGAGGTTAGAGAGTCAGAGGGTGGTGAAGCAAAGCCTAAATCTGATGTAATAAACCCTAAGGGTGATAAGACAACGATGGTAAAAAGAAAGGCGAGAAAGATGAGAAAGATTGTAGAGCTTAGTTTTGAGATTGTCGGATGTGACAATGTCGGGTCTGTAGAGGCTGCAGATGGAAATAAGAAGATGAGCTCTCTGAGGCAAAAGCGGAAGGTGTCTTATGCAAAGGATGGAGGCGACGGAAATATTCTAAGCCCTCCAACAAAAACATTGAAACTGCATAGAGGATTCAAAGCTGATGCTGAAGGTGCATTTCCATCAAGCAAAGTTGAGAAAATCTATAATGTCTCCGAAGCTAATAGTGAAAATCCAAAATCAGAGGAATTCCCAGATCCAGATTTTAGTAATTTTGACGAGAAAAAGGGCGGATTCTCCGTCAGTCAAGTGTTGGCACTCAAAGATTCTCTGGATAGCATGCCACAGTTCTATGTTCAGGTCAAAAAAATGTCCACTGCCCCGCTTAAGCTTCAGATGACCCGCCTTGAGGCTCTACCAGTTACAGAAAACGAGATTCGTATTCCGGTTTCTTGTGGAAAGTTTAAGAGCGGGGTAACGGAAGAAACAGCTGATTTCGGGACATTTTCTCATCACCTGCATTGTCTCAAACAAGCCTCTCACCATTTCATATACCCACAAAAGGGAGAAACCTGGGCTGTTTTCAGAGATTGGGACATCAGTTGGAATACTGACCCAGCTAAGCATAAAGAACCGTACCAGTATGAATTCGTCGAAGTGTGGACTAATTTTATGGATATAGCTGATGATGATAATGGTATCTGTGGCATCGGAGTGTACTATCTCGAAAAAGTGGAAGGATTTGTTTCGCTTTTTGGTCGGGCAAAACACCGTAAGGTTCTAGCATGCATCTTTGAGCCGAGGGAAATGTGTAGGTTTTCTCACAAAGTCCCGTCGTTCAGAATGACTGGAACAGAACGAGAAGGCGTCCCTCCCGGGTCATTTGAGCTCGACCCTTCCGCTCTACCGAAAGATATCTTTGAGATTGATCCTCATAAAGATTAATTCCGAGAGCGGTCGGAATCTGGATGGCATGGCGGGTGAAAAGAGTGATTGTTCTCAAAAGAGGCGTCGGGAAATTGTAAGAGAGAATGGTTCAATTGCCAAAGTGCCACTGCACGTTTACAAACGGTTTAGTCATGGAGTGAAGAAGAATTCACCTCTGACATCGAAGTAAAGCTGAAGTGCCTAAGTAAGTTAACTTCTCTTTATTACCAGTGTCGTAGGAGCGGTTTTTGTGCTAACCTTTTTTTACTTATTTATGCAGACGGTTTATTAACATTTTGACCGTAGGACAAGACAAAAGAGGATACTTAGGGGTGGTTATTTTGGGTTTTGGTTCACTTCTATTCTCAGGTTTTATAACTGTTCGGTTTTGGTTCGAATACAATTATGCCTTATTCAGTTCAGTTTGATTTATTGGATTAATAACTAAAATGGTCATTCTAAAGAAAACGTATTAGACCAAAGGCTCGATGATCGAATACAAAACCGAACCAAACTCTTTGGTTTCGGAACAAAACCAAACAAATTCTTCGGAAAACCTGCCAACATTTTCTTTCATAGGGCGGAAAGATCACAATGGATCAATCAAAGGGTGCGAAAATCCAAAAATTATTTAGGTATGTTCACACTGATCAATTTTTTCACGAGTCTTTACACTATCGGCACGAACAAAGGGAAAGTCGATTCAGTTATTTTTCTTGACGTTTTCGGGTACGGAAGAGTGTATATATATATAAAACCTTCACTGTTATGCAGAATTCGCCATAATCCCGAAGTTGCTACACCTTGTCGTCGTGAAACCACCACCTTGTCTCCTTCGGGGACCTCCCGTTTTTGCAGTTCCTAACGTAGCGGTCATTATCCGCCGGGCGTTGCTGCAAGGTAAACAGTTAGGAACAGTCGAGAGGAATGGTCGGGAAAAAGGTGGAACAGGAGAAACCTTTGCGGGTGAGCTCGAGAGCATGGAGAGAATGCTGATACAGACTGAACTCACCGTCATTGCTGGTGACCACGAGTCATAGAGAATATCTGCCAATCACATACACAACGATATATTTTCAGAAATGTAAATAATCATGTAATTATATCACTCTTCCTCTCGTTTTTGCCAAATCCTCTGAAATTTGTTAACCCTTCAAATCATTACTAATTACTCGTTCCTAGGTGATCTTAGATCTAAATCTATCTCTCTCCCTCTCTCTTATTCCTACGTTCTCTACTTTTAAATCGGGTCATTTACCGGTCTATGTTTTATATGGCCAAACCACCTTAGACGTCCATCTCGTAACTTCTTTTCTATACTTAATATCACCACTTTCTCTCCAATCCTCTCATTTTAAAATTTAACCATTCTTGTGAGTACCCTATGGATTCTCTCTAATTCTCCCATTCCAGAGGATGCTATGACCATGGAAAAGGGTTTTGATTTGCTAAAGAATCCATCCTATTCCTACAACTGAGAACAATGGCAGTTTCTTAGCAACACCAAATGCAAACTAAAAGTGAGCAACCTATTTTAACCCGTCTAAAGGAGTTATGCCTCTACGGAAAAAGACAAAACACCGTTCGTGTGCAAAATTAAGGATGCCCATACGCATGAAAACAAGAAACATTATCCACTCTTTC